TCAAGAGGCTGAGATCTTATTCAAAGCCAGCCAGAGCAGGAAAGTCCATGAGACTCTTATCTCCAATTAACCACCAGAAAACCAGAAGTAAAACTGGTAGTGCTCTACCAGTAGAGCACTAGCCTTGAGCAAAACAAAGAGCTCAGGGATGACACCCAGGCCTAAGTTCAAGCTTCACAATTGACAAAAAAAGATAAAAGGAGGAAGAAGGAAGGAAGGAAGGAAAGGAAAGGAGGGAGGGAGGGAGGGAGGGAGGGAGGGAGGAGAAGGAAAGAAAGAAAGAGAGAGAGAGAGAGAGAGAGAAAGAAAGAAAGAAAGAAAGAAAGAAAGAAAGGAAGGAAGGAAGGAAGGAAGGAAGGAAGGAAGGAAGGAAGGAAGGAAGGAAGGAAGGAAGGAAGGAAGGAAGGAAGGAAAAGAAAGAAAGAAAGAAAAATTCAATATGTACATGTGTAAAAATGAAACTATGTAAGCTGAGGGTTGGAAGAGATGTAGAAAATGATGAAAGGGATAACATTAATCAAGACGTATTACACTCACAAATCGACTCGTAGAATTTTAAAACCTCTTTGTATAACTATTTAAGGATAACTTAAAGATAATTTTTAAATACTTTCACAAATAACTTTTAAAAATAGTTGCTCAGTAGTAATACACTATAACTATTCCAGTTCTCCAACCTCACACTAACATTGAATTCTTTGTTGCTAGAGGATAATCACTTGGCTTCATTCAGTTTAAATGGTAAGTCAACAAAGATCAACATTCAAATGTATTCATTGGATATATGAATTGAAACCACTTGCTGCCTTCATGGCACAGACACCAACAAATGGGTTGTTACTTATGAGAGTGGGTTGTGAGGGAGCTGAACTCTGATCTTCTCTGTGAACCAGGAACAGTTCAACAAAGCACATGTCCAGACCAAATGCATAACAACTTCACGAAATTAAAAGACTCTCTAGTATTTTGAAAAGAAGGTCTTCGTTTGATTTGATTAATATTGAATTTGTGTCTTCAAGAACCTTATTTAGCTACTTACATAAATTATGAAAAATGTTTCCCAGAAAGCAAAGTAAAGATTAATTAAGACAGACACCTAAGACTACTGAGGCTAGTTAGGCCAAGAGTACAGGGCCTCTGGGAGAGTGGCAAAAAAAAAAAAAGTAGAAATTAAAGATCTTTCTTCCATGTTCCTCTTTCTTGGCTGAGTAAGGCACCTATTAAAACATGATCCCATTAATTTCCTGGCTGACTCTGGGCCTTCCATCCAATTTCCATTAATACAGTACAGTAACAACTATAAGCTTTTTAGTTAAGTACATGCTTCTTAATGGAAATGCCAAAGATTCAAAGGCAGAGATCATGTACTTCTTCCCATTGCATTCTATATATTAATTGATGCTAATTTAAAAAAAAAAATCAAGCTGGGCACCGGTAGCTCATGCCTGTAATCCTAGCTACTCAGGAGGCTGAGATCTAAGGATCCAGCCAGGGCAGGAAATTCCATGAGACTCTATAGTAACCACTCAGAAAAAGCCAGAAGTGGCACTGTTGCTCAAGTAATAGAGCTCTAGCCCCAAGACCAGCAAAAATAAATAAGTTGATTAAATCAAAAAGTATACACACAGAGAGCACACTGAGGGCATGGCTCAGGTGGCAGAGCACATATTGATGTAGGCCCTGGGTTCACCAACTAGTACAGAAAAAAAGAAAAGGTAGATTAAATATCTAAGCCCAGCGGGAAAAAATGAATAGATTTTGTAAATAAAGAAGTCATCCACACAATTTTAGAGCAAATAGAAATTTTAAACAGTGCTGTCCCCATTAAACAGGAGCGAAGGGAAAAAAATAATACAGCAACTACACTAACAAAAATATTAATGCACAACACAAAAGACTAAAAGGGAGAAGAAATCATAACCCAGGGCACAGAAAGTTTCCTTTGATGCAAAAACATACAGTAACATTGATTCAAACATCCTGAAGCAGATATGACTACCTAAGAACAAGGTAAAACTGTAGAGAAAACTATCAATTGAAATCTAAAATATTATCATAGAATTAATAGATAAGGCAAAAATAGACTAGGCAGAATGGAAAATCAAATTGATTGGCAGAAATTAAAAACAATCATGGGAAAGAAACAAAAGAAATAAAGGGAAGAAAAAAGGAAGGGGGGATTGGAAGTATAACTCAGTTGGTAGAATACCAGCCAATGAGTGCAACTATCAGGTATTAAGTTGGAGTCCTAGTCTCAGATCTAAAAAAGGAAAAACATGAAAAAAAGGGATGGGGGAGGGAAGGAAGAAAGGAAGGAGAAAGAGAAGGAAAGAAAAAGAGAAAAGAAAGAAAAAGCAAAAAAGAAAGAATAAAGCAATCAGAGAAGTTGTAGATACAATGGGTAGGAGAAAAAATAACCCAGCTTAGACAGTTGTCAAGAAGAAAGAAGAAGAAGTGGAGGAGGAGGAAGAGGAGGAGGGAGAAGGAGGAGGGAGGAGGAGGAGGAGGAGGAGGAGGACGAGGAGGAGGAGGAGGTGGTGTAAGGGGGGAGGAGGAGGAGCAGCAGCAGCAGCAGCAGCAGCTGGGCACTGGTGGCTCATACTTATAATCCTAGCTACTCAGGAAGCTGAGATCTGATGAGCATAGTTCAAAACTAGCCCTGGAAGAAAAGTCTGTGAGACTCTTATCTCCAATTAACCCCCAGAAAACCAGAAGTGGAGCTATGGTCAAAGTAAGTGGTTGAGCAATAGCCTTGACCAAAAAAAGCTCAAGGACAGTGCCCAGGCCATGAGTTCAAGCCCCATAACCAATAAAAAAATAAAGTAAGTGTTCAAAGATGATATTACTATAAACTAAACTAAATCTGCAGGCCATTAAGAATTGTGTTTCAAGAAAGTTGGTTCAATTTGATGTTGGTATAATTCGTGGAGGGGAAGGGAAAAAACAAATCGTTTAAATAGGGATACAGGTGGACCCAATGCAACAATGAGATGTACAAGTCGTTATGTCCAAAAATGAACTTTACAACTTTGGTGGGGGTGTGGAGAGAGGGGAGGATCAGGTAGTTGGGGGTGGGTATGGGAAGGTTTGGGAAGGGGAAACAAAGGAGGAGGCAACAATGCTTGATAAGAAATGTACTCATTATCTTGCCCATGTAATTGTAACCCCTCTGTATGGTATTTTCACAATTAAAAAAATTAAATAAATTAAATAAAATAAAAAAGTTGGTTCAGAATGGTCAAATGAAACATATGCTAAATATAGATTGTTCAGACTTTCCAACAAAAGAGGTTACTTATAAAAGGGTACGTGTTTATATAAATGGCAGGGAGTTTAAGAAATCACATTTGGCCTCAGATTTTACCCAACAACATAAAATGCTAGAAACATTAGGATAGTGTTAAATCTGAGAAGTGACAAGGCAAAGAAAACATGGCCTAAAGTTAAAGTCACATAATAAGTAGCACATCTCTGAATCCTTTGTGAAAAGATGAAAAAAATAGATTCCACACATTGATAAGGTTATTGATGAGAAAGTAATCCATTTAAATATAGAACTACAAACAGAAAACCTATGTGAATACTTGTCTCAGGACAGAACATTACTGTTAAACCTTGTCACTGGGAATGGCATAGGAAATAAGGAGGAAAAAAAACCTTAAGCATGCTCATTTCTATAGCAACAAATAATCACTGCATGTAAAAGTGAAGGTTAAGAAGTTTAAGGATTGTTCCAGCTTCCTCTATGAATTTTTCCTCTATGAATTCCAGAGAAAACAAAGAAATAAAATACTTAGTAGGATGTTTATGGGTATTTTAATGCTTACTTTTAGTTTTACTTAAGGGGTTTTTTCCTTGTTTGACAAAGATAAATAAAGTTAAATTTAAACGCTTTTTGGGCAGCTCCTCTAGTGTGGTTTTCTTATTGAACTGCTTCTCTGGATATCAATTCTTCATCTGTATATATACAGAACATTACTTTAATAGTCACCACTCCATACTAAGAATAGCTATTTTTCTGATGGATAGTAGGGATTTTTATTTTCTTGGTGATAATGTTTTTCTGCTTGGCTAGAATTCTTTATAAGAAGCAAGTATCCATTTCTATAAAATACATCCTATTATGAAGTCTATTAAAACTATTAGAAACAAGTCAAAAAATTTTAAAGACATACAAAGGAAATGTTGGATCTTAAAATGTAATTTTCAGCAGGGGACCAGTGTCTCATGCCCATAATCCTAGCTACTCAGGAGACTGAGAACTGAGTATCACAGCTTAAAGACATCCTGGGCAAGGAAGAGAGTCTTTTTACATTAACCACCCAAAACAGCTGCAACTGGAGCTGTGGCTCATGTGGTAGAACACTAGCCTTGAGCAAAAAAGCTCAGAGACATCACCAAGACCCTGAATTCAAGCCCAATGACACACATACACACACACACACAATTAATTTTCAAGCCAGGCTCATACCTGTAATCATAGCTACTCAGGAGGCTGAGCTTTGAGGATCTCAGTGTAAAGCTAGCTGGGACAAAAAAGTATATGAGACTTTCATCTCCAATTAACCAGAAAAAAGGTAATTTTCACAAAAAGAATTTATAAATATAGAAGCCAGGCAACAAAGTTGAAGCTAGAATAATAGAGTATCAATATCAGCCTTCCCTATATGAAAATCTACTTTAAAAACAATGGCTAATGAAGAAATAAACTTTTGTAACTTTCTTGCAAAAAAAAAAAAAAAAGATCTAGGAAGGTATTAAAAGCACAATGCGTTTATTTAAACTATTACTTTTCATAATTCAATGAATTTATCACAAGTTAATATTTCCATTCTGTTATCTTGCCAGGCAATACAGTAGTGTCACATAAACTTTATATAAAAGTATGGAAGTTAAAAGTACAACTAAAAACAGTTGTGACCTGTGTGGGAGGACTATTTGCATTCTTATCCTATTGTTGTTCATTTTTTCTCTATTTCACGGTCCTCTCAACCTTGTACTTATTTTTGTTTTAGGGCAAACAGAGCTTCTCCTCTAACCTGCTCCACTGCATGTCCCACCACACCATTATTATTATCATTTCTGTTGACCCAGTGGTACCTGTCTACCCTGTGCATTGCAGCAGGCCTATAACCCTTAGGGTTCCTATGGGCAGCATGATAAGCATTGGCTATGAGGCCCAAACTGCCACCCACCATTCTCTTTCTATAGGGGATGAAGAATGAAGGTTGGAAGGGCTGTTTGAAGATTTCAACCTAAAAAAAAAAACAGAAATAGAGAAAATATGATGAATCCAGAACTAATATCTAGCTCTAACTACTAAATATAAACCTAGAGACATAAAAATATATGCATATATGGAAATTGCATGGACATATCACAATGACATTTTACAAGAATATGTGCTAATAAAATATGAAATTACTATGAATCCACACATCCGAAGACTTTCAAAAGCACAAGGAGTACAAATTAATAGAAATGAAAGGAAAAAACTCTCTTTGGAAAACTTGGCAGCATTTTATGTGCCTTAAATTTAAATGAAGTTGCTTTTAACTTAAAGTAAAACTAATTCTTCAACTAAAATGAAAAACAAAACACCTTTATTTCAAATGCATGTGTATTCTTGCATTTTCCCCCTACCCAACTCCCTCCTGACCCTTGCCAGCCAAATTCAAAACTGCTTAATCCTGATCTCTAAAGGTCAAGATCCCTAAAGATTCATTGTAAATAAGCCATATGACTGATACAGACACTTTGAAAAGACACTGCTATAAAAAGAATTAAGCTACTACAGACCTGATCACTAGATGGAAAAGGCTAAGTCTAAAAATAAAGAACAAATATTTGACAGTTTTATACATATGTGTATTTGTTTGTATGTATATTTGTTTGTATGTATATTTTAGAAACTGAACTAGAGTTGCGGCTCAAGTGATTGAGGGCCAATCATGAACAACACAGCTGAGCAAGAGGCACACACCCTGAGCTCAAGTCCCAGTACTGCTCCTCACAAAAAAAAGGGGGGGTGCTGGGAAGGTGGCTCAGTGGTAAAGTGCTTGCCTTGCATGCATGAGGCCCTGGGTTCGATTCCTCAGCACCACATAAGCAGAAAAAGCCAAAAGTGGCACTGTGGCTCAAGTGGTAGAGGGCTAGCCTTGAGCTGAACTGCTGAGGGACAGTGCACAGAGGCCTAGGGTTCAGGCCCCACGACTGACAAACAAACAAACAAACAAATAAATAAATAAATGGAAGAGTGGAAAGAAAGAAGTGAGGGAGGGAAGGAAGGAGGGGAGTGGAGGAAAATATTAGACAGTAATACAACAAGGGATTAAAATACCTTCTGAAGTATAAAAAGCCTGTGAGGCAGCAGGCTTGTGTGTTCAAGGCTCAACTGGGCTATATAAGGATACCATGTCTCAAACTGACATCAAGCAACCAAAAAAAAAAAAAAAAAGAAAAAAGAAAAAAAACGCTAATCATATTATTTAATCTGAAGGAATTTTAGACATAAACCTGTGTGTTTAAAATGCTGTGGGAAAAAAAAATCATGTAAGATTCTATGAATATGGTTGTGGCACAGAAAAGATTTTGCAAAATATAATCATGAGGGTTTTTTCATTTTTTTAGTTTCATTCTTGTTTTTGTTTTGTTTTTGTTCATTTTTTTTGTCGGTCATGGGGCTTGAACTCTGGGCCTGGACACTGTCCCTGAGCTCTTCAGCTCAAAGCGAGCACTCTACCACTTCAACCACAGCGCCACTTCCAGTTTTCTGGTGGTTAACTGGAGATAAGAGTCTCACAAACTTTCCTGCCCAGCCTGGCTTTGAACCATGATCCTCAGATCTCAGCCTCCTGAGTAGCTAGGATTACAGGCATGAGCCACTGGCGCCTGGTTTGTTTCATTCTTTCCCATGTTTGTGTGTGTGTGTGTGTGTGTGTGTGTGTGTGTGTGTGTGATTTTTTTTTCCCACAGTGAGCACATCTTTTTTATAATTAGAATGGAAAAGATATATAGAGAACCACTTGACCTGATAGATGCTCTTGGGGTTGATGACTTTAGGAATGGCCTGAGGTTCCCTGCTACAACCTTCTTCATCAGAGGAAGTGCCAGAGGAGTAATCTAATGTGGCTCTATTAACAGCATAACTGATTTTTTGAGACAGTTCCCATTTCTCCCATCTGCCTTTAAAAGAAGCAATCGTAAAGGGATGGTTTTTCTCACCATACCTAAGTAGGAAAAAAAAAAAAAAGAGTCATTAAGGATTCAAAACTTCGCGCCAATTTTATCTCTAATCTTCTCTGAAACAATACGTTAAATTTTAAGAAAAAAATTAAATGGGATAGATCAAGAATAAAAACAAATCAAAGGATACTATGACCTGCAGCTACCACATGGCTATAATTAGTAAAGATATTCTGTAAGCGCTGTTTTGGTGGATTATTCTAAAAAAAGGGGAAGAACAGTTACTTTTGGTTCAACTAGTAGACTGAATTGTCCCTCACAGTAGAAAACCCTTCTTCCATCCTGATATTGCCTACAGTACTTAGAAGTTTGTCTGCAAGTTTGCAACAAGTTGCAGTGATTAAAGTCACATTGGAAATACTCTGCAAAAGTCTTTGCACTTGCCTCTCCATTCACTCCTAATAGAGGTCTGAGTGACCACCATGGAAAAATCTTAACCAGCAGTGTCCTTGTTCTGAGGAGCATCATCTTTCACAAAGCTATAGAGAACAGGTTAAATAACCTTAAAGTTTTTAGGAGCACATAAACTATGAGATTACTCACCTACAGCATACTTCAAAGGGATCCACCCATATGGTCATCTCCTTAGGAAGTCCCAGGTGAGAAAAACTCACGTTACTCTCAGCACATGCTCTTTCTAAAAGGGGCTCTTTATTTGGATTATTTATCCTGATACACCTTGGGAGTAGAAAAGGAAAGTAAATGAAGACATGATAATGGTTCCAGAGCTGGAAAATCATATTGTGGGTATACTATTCAATACCACAATTCCCTCTTTGCTCCTATCTTTCCCCCACTTTCTCCATCCTTAAAAGTGGGACTGAAGCCGAGCGGTGGTGGCTCACGCCTGTAATCCTAGCTACTCAGGAGGCTGAGATCTGAGGATTACGGTTCAAAGCCAACCCGGGCAGGAAAGTCGGTGAAACTCTTATCTCCAATAAACCACTAGAAAACCAGAAGTGGCGCTGTGGCTCAAGTGGTAGAGCGCTCGCCTTGAGCTGAAGAGCACAGGGAGAGTGCCCAAGCCCACACAGTTCAAGCCCCATGACAGACCAAAAAAAAAAAAAAAAAGAAAGATAGAAAAAGTGGGACTGAAACATCCAACTTTTCATAGAATGACTCAGAATGAGTATTGTATGCTTAAATCACAGATGTTCAACGTATCTTTCTTGGCAAACACAAGTTAAAAACTGTCTAATCTACCTCACATAAAGTCTATTGTCATTTACCACATCTCTTTCATTCAAGTCCATATTCAAACAAATGAACGAGAGCCCATAAAACTTGCATTACTTGTATACAGACAACAAAATCATTGCATTTTCCTCGCAGGTGTTATTGCTTATGGATTCCTGTCCATTATCCCCTCACGTGCCAGCTCTCACCTGAACGCTTGCCCTTTAGAAGGGCATCCAGGATACCAGTGGCCTCTGTATTTTTCAAACAACACTGTCATCAGCTTCTCTGCAAAAACCTCCATTTGCTGTTTACTCAATTTTTCATGTTTTTTCACCAGTCTTGTGACAAAGAAAACTGCTGTGGCAATTTCATCTCTCATGATTCATAGTCTATGAAGGGACCCAAAGCCTTTAAAAGCAAGAAAAAAAAGCCACAAAGAAACAAGGGTTTAATTTATTATCAATATAAAATTGCCATTGGTAGTCTTATATGCCTTAAATTTAAAGCAAATCATTTGCCAGAAATAACTTCTTAGTGAACTAAACAAGCACATAAACACTGTCAACAAAACAGCTGAGAATAGCAATTCCTCCCCTCGCCCATCTATAAAGAAAAAAATGTATTTTAAAAACAACGCTTTCATGAAATATCATTATGCAACTTAAGTATCAAAGATCTTAATGTGGGGCTATAAATTACATGAACCAACGCTTTTTAAAAACATACTTACAAAACGTAAAACATTTCAGGTGACAGCAGTTTGAAAATGTGGCTTGCTAAAGGTGCACACTTGAAGATTAAGCAAACAGGTACTATACTGCCAACAAAATCTTAGATACAACAAAAAGTGGGCCAGTTAGATAACCAGCACACACTCTCTTGTGTTACCAACTTTAGCCCACACCTGTTTTGTGAAGGTTAGGCTGCAGTTTATATATGCCTAGGCCCTAAAGGCTGATTGGTAGTGAGTGTTACACAGGTGTTACCCATTAGGGTAAGCTCAGAGCGTTTCCATGATTGCATCAAATTGCTCTTTGGCGAATGGAGAATGGCAAATACAAGTTAGAAATCATCACCTCACATAAGATCTATTGTTTTCTTTTCTTTTTTGGGGTCCGACTGTGGGGCCTGAACTCTGGGCCTGGGTGCTGTCCCTCAGCTCTTCAGCTCAACGCTAGCGCTCTACCACTTGAGCCACAGTGCCACTTCCGGCTTTTTTTCTTTTTTTGCTTATGTGGTGCTGAGGAATCGAACCCAGGGCCTCATGCATGCAAGGCAAGCGCTCTACCACTGAGCCACCTTCCCAGCCCAGATCTATTGTTTTCTACTACATTGTCTTTTTCTTTTTCTTTTTTTTTCTTTTCTTCCCCCTTCTCTCTCTCTCTCTCTCTCTCTCTCTCTCTCTCTCTCTCTCTCTCTCTCTCTCTCTCTCTTCCTTTCTTTCTTTCTGACACTATTTGGGTTTGAACTGAGGGCCTCAAGCCCCTATTAAGTAGCGTTTGCTTTTTTTTTTTTAAGTGTTTTAAGACTTTCAAACTGGATTTGTATCTTCTATTTTTCTGTTAACATTTTATCTTTAATGACATAAGAGTTAGGAATGTGACATTCTCCTTCAACATCCTAATACCCTCCCCATTTATCATTTAACTCTATATAATAAGGGGTAACACTAACACTGATCAAGATGCTTTGTATTGATAAACTGCTTTGCTGAATGGTACCCCTTTGTACAACTTCTTAAAGATCATTAAATAAATCAACATAGCTTTGTCTTGGGTCTTTAACAAATTATGGTCCTTATATTGACCACACACATTTATTTTTTTGCCAGTCCCAGGGCTTGAACTCAGAGCCTGGGCACTGTCCCTGAGCTTCTTATGCTCAAGGCTGGCATTCTACCACTGAAGTCACAGCACCACTTCCGGCTTTTTCTGTCTATGTGGTACTGAGGAATCAAACCCAGGATTTCATGCATACAAGGCAAGCACTCTACCGCTAACCCTCATTTCCAGCCTGACCACACACATTCTTTACTAAATTGTTTGTAGAATAAATGGACAAGATCTGAATTTAGTCTCATTAGTTTCCCAAGGATGAGTCAGTTGCTGCTTGGATTGCTTGCTCACAATGTAGATTTTTGCCTTACCCCAGGTCTGCTGAAGGGAAGGCATGATAATCAGAATTTAACAATTGCCCTACATGATTCTAATACCTATTAAAATGTAAAAGCCCCCACACTGACATATGTAAGTTTTTACCACTCATAATTAGTGGTCACTCATTTTCTTCAATAGCGAGAAAGAATTCACTCTCAAGGAAACCCTTTTCTTTTATAAAAAGCTCTAAATACTGGTCAGTTCTTCCTTCCTCTGTGCAGCCAAGTCCACCTCTTCGATTTTCTACGTAAGCAGCCTAGATTGTCCCTCTGGAACTGTACAGGGTATGGTATTAGAGGGTATCTAATCCTCCTCTGCGTGTGATGTTTTGAATACTAGCTGTTCAGCCTTCTGAGTCTTCTCCCCTCTCTTTCCCTCTCTTTTCCCTCTCTCTCCCCACCCCTACCTCTAGCTGGTGACTCACATCAGGGTGAGCTTCAGCAATCCTCTTTCAAATTGCATGGTGTCCTGGAGGGAAAGGGGCAGACTTCCACATAATGCTCAGGTGCTCCACTACTACAGACCAGCGTGGAACTGTCACTACCTTGACTCAGGATACTCAGTATTATAGGAATCAGCCTCAGGTGCCCACTGAAAAGGCCTAGAACCAAATCTACCACTCATTTTGTGGTCTCTACATTTCCCATTTAAAAAGAGAAAAAAAAAAGTCTTTATCCAGGCACAGTGGCTCCTGCGTATAATCCTAGCTACTTGGGAAACAGAGACTTGGAGAGTTGTAGTTCAAGGCCATACTAGGCAAAAAGTTAGGGAGAGCTCACGTTAACCAACAAAAGCTGAGCATCGTGCCCCATACCTGTCATCCCAGCTAAAATAGGAAGCATAAGAGGATTGATGTCCTTGTCAGCCTGAGCATAAGTTTGAGACACGATTCAAAAACATTATTAGAGTGAAAAAGGATAGAGTACCTGACAAATGAGCACTCAGCAGGGAGTGGCTGGAAGATCTTGAGTTTGAGGCTAGCCTGTGCTACATAGTGAAACACTGCCTAAAAAGATAAAGAAAAAAAGAGAAGACAACAACAGCAGTAGAAAAAAAAACCCACAATGGATCGTGTCAAAAGATATATAAGCCAACATGATGAGTCCCTGTTAACTCAAGGGAGTCAGTTTGAACAATCCTAGTTCCTATGGAACTCCTTCAAGTCAAATACAATCATCCTCCAACAGCCAAAAATATCAGATGCTTATGGCTCAGAAACTGTTGGCCTAAGGAACTGTCTCACCTGAAGTTATTCCCATTTTCCAAGGCCATTGAAGCCAATGTTAGAATATAAGAGCTGGTCCCTCTGTCTCAACTTGCAGCAACTCTGAAGAGCCATTACACCATCCCGACAGCTTCCCATACGTAGGCCATGGCCTCTGTTGCCACTTAGTCACTAATAACCTCTCTCCTGACCCAGTTGTGTGTTCCTCATTGTGTACTCTCCAGACCACTCCGCAATAAACTCTCCATATGCAACTACCTTCTCAGAGTCGGTTGTAAGGAACCTAGTCTAAGGCAGCTGGTACCTGGAATGTTCTATACAAGGAAATAGATCCTAAAATAGGATTTGGGAGCTGGCTTATTCACTTGCAGGCTGGAATAAACACCTCATGACTACTGATTGTAGAATGTGGATCTAGATAGCTCCCAACTAGAGGTGAAGTGATGTGATCACTAAACTCTGAACAGTGATAAACTGAGATGAGATATAGATACTAGAGGCTGTCCAGGCCATTATAATAGCTTTGATTTTTGAGATGTATGAGAAATAGCAAATGTTAAGGACTATTAAAATGGATGGCTGAGCATTTTGATCTCTACAAACAACAATTTAATGTTTGCCTAAGTTTAGATCAATCCAGTAAGTATTCTAAAATGTATACTGTATGCCCAGACATACGAAAATAAAAGTGACACTCAGACCTTAACCTCTTCTGCCTCCAGAGTATTTTATTTCAGCTGTTCATGTTTCCCCTTCCCATACTACACTGCAGAGGTTCCCAAACTGTTACACTTGGAATCACCTCTCAGCTCCTGACATTCTGATTAAATTGGTAATGAGTACAACCTGGGCATCAAGATTTTTTTTAAAAAAGCTTTCTCACTGGTTGTAAGCATTTATAAGATTATCTCTTTGTTGCTTTGTATGGACCACAGTATAACCCCTGCTTTCACTATATTTGATGTCAGTATAACTTGTGGAGGAGATGGGGAAAAACCAGTTGTTTAAGGATACAGGTGGACCTGTTGCAACAATGAAAAGTACAAGTTGTCATGTCCAAAACGAGCTTTACAACGTCGGTGCGGGGGGGTGGGGGGAAGGAAGGGGGGGGGGGAAGCAGAAGGATTGGGATTGGGGGGGAGGGGGGAGGCTGGGAAGGGATGTGAAGGGTAAACCAAAGGAGGAGGCTGCAATGCTTGGTAAGAAATGTACGCATTATCCTGCCCATGTAATTGTAACCCCTCTGTACAGTATGTTCACAAATTAAATTAAATTAAATTTAAAAAAATCACTTAGACAGATGTTGCTTAGCTATCAAGGAGATTTTAAATTATATTTTATATATTTGATTACTCAATAATGCCTTAAATTTCAAAGAGATTATGATGATAAAATTGGATCATTTATGTTCATCTTTTGCTGATGTATCTTTTGCAAAAACATATTATGTTAGAACTGACAAAACTGAGAACCAAGACAATTTGCTGCATATTACTGAAATAAAACTTGCTGTGAGTTGCTCATGACTGTAATCCTGGCTACTCAGAAGGCTGAGATATGAGGATTGTGGTTCAAAGCCAACCTGGGCAGAAAAGTCCATGAGACTCTTATCTCCAACTAGCAAAAAGCTAGAAATGGCACTGTGGCTCAAAGCACAGAAACTCAGGGACAGTGCCCAGGCCCTGAATTCAAACCCCAAGACCAGCATACACACACAAAAATTTGCTTCTGAGTTAAAGGCAACATATATATTAGCAAATACACAAATTTTTCCCTTGAGGCTATTAGCATTTGCATTTACATTAAGAAATTAATTGTATCAAGGTGTTTAATAATTCCTTCATCACTACATCTTCCCAGATGACATATTGTTCCATAGCATTTGAAGTTCCTTAAGTACATTAACTGATGAGGCTTTGCACCCTCTCTTAGTATTATTTTTTGCAACAGGCCCAAGCAGGCCTTTGGTGGTATAAATGGAATAGTAGAATAACAATGTACTTAGATT